ACATTTTGTGTGTTACCTTTCTTTATTAAATATCATGTTCCTCGCACTTAAACCATAAGATCCAGTGCAACAGCAATATCGCAAAATAGTTTTAAAACGAGCATATCTTTAGAATTTCCGATACAGAGACTCACGCGCTGGAGATAAAATGTTTTTTCTGCACAACGTTGCCATTGCTCGCTTTGAAATCCTTGAGTTTGTTAATCAAAAATTCGTCACAGTTTTAAAAAATAGGAAATCGATCATAAAACAAATTTCAAATTTCAAATTTGGTCTTCCACATGCTCATATTCGTTGGAGGATTACGTTATTCAAAATTCGATGACTCTATGTACCGTTATTTTATGACAATGTGAGAAATATACATACATTTACGCAGATTTTCATTATTTAATTTCTTCAAATATAATGCAGGACTCTAACCTTTTGTGGCAACACTTTGAAAAGTGAACCGACATTTATCCGTCCGACGCAAAATGCCAAAACGAAACTAATAGTCCTTCGGGATTCAAATCCCTTTGGACTAATAATAAATCGATTATATTACTTTACCCGTATAAAACCTACACCATAAGCATTGACAATTATCCAAGTTTCTCACGTGCTCCCTGGTGTTTGCTTGTCTTGCTTGCTGCGCAGCCTCAGCGTCAGCTTCCAAGATCGCGTCGCAAAAAGAAAAGGCTTTCTGTGTTCTCTGTTTTGAGATGTCCAAATTTGTGGTTTCAGTACAGCGTGAGTTTTGAACACGTTTTTCTGGGAGGTGTTCCATGAGAAAGTGCACAGCTCATTTTTCTTCGAACAAGAAACTGTAATCGATGACTCATTCCTAAACACGCTGGAAACCTGGTTGTTACCTTAACTGAGCACCAATTATGATGATTACATTTTTCAACTAGATAAGGCTCCGCTCCATTTTCACAGGAATGTAAGAGAACTTCTTAATCATGTTGTTCACCAACGCTAGATTGAACGTGCTGCAACAATAGAAAACCTTCTCCTCTGGCCATCCAGTTCGTCGGATTTAACACCATTCGATTTCTTTCTCTTGACGGTTTGTTAAAGACCGAGGTTATGTACCCTCAATGCCCGTGTCGCTTGAGGAAGTTTGTGGTTGGATAAAGCAACCACTGCAGACCGTCATGGCGGACGGGCCACATGCGTATGGGAAGAATTTGATTAACGTGTAGATGTATGTCGGTGATAAAGGGTGCACATGTGGAAGGATTGTGATTAATGCATCAAAAGTTTGGACAATTACCGCTACTTATAAGATTTGCCCATATAAAGTAATAGATCGATTTATTAGTCCAAAGGGGCTCTGTCCCTGAAGGACTATTGTTTTCGTTTTGCGATTTTGCGTTGGTTCACCATAAATGTCCGTTTCACTTTTCAAACTGTTCCCACCAAATGTGAGAGTCCTGCATTATATTTGAAGAAATTAAATAATGAAAAATTTGCATAAACATATGCATATTTCTAGCATGGTGATAAACTATTTAACATTAAATGATCTTGCAATACCGGTAATGTATTTGATGACAACAATAATAAAGTCATAATTTTATCAAGAGATACTTTTCTTGTTTGGTATTATAAATCGTAGTAGTATTTCTTGAAGTATTATTTGCAGAATATTTTTAACTTATAAAAATTTAAGAATAAATACCTAAATGTTGGTTCGCGCATGTTGTGATTTCATTCCAAATGTAGAATACTTGTACTTCATCCTGTATGATGTATTGAAATATTCACTTATCCTGGATTTTAAGGATATGCATGTTTATCCTATATATCTAAATGTGTATTCGAAATTTTATAAACTTCAAATGAGGTCAGACGTTTCATATTTTCCAAATGAGAATTTCATTTTTTTAGGTTTAAAGCATAGAAATAATATACTGATTGAAAAATTGCAAATGGATGGGATTGAAGTGAGAAAATAAACTGAGAGGAATAAAAGCGTTTCCAGTTATGTGACTTAAAGTTGAAGAGAAAAAAATATTGAAAAGTTTCTAGTACGTAGTGCCGATGAGAGCAAGATCATCATCAGAAATACAATATTTTTGCATACTATTAAGTTCTGTTGTAAATAATGCAGCATTGGAGCAGGAACGTTGAAAAGTATCAGTAGTAAGACATTTATAGACACAAGGCGCAACTCAAAAGCTAAAGGTTAACATAAAACTTTATTCCTCAGGAATTTACAATTGAAATAATACAAAACGAATAATTCAACTTCTCGCTAACAGTGCATTGCTATTAATCAATAATATTCTGGTAGTCTTACAAATTCTAAAAAAAAAAAAAAAAAAAAAAAAAAAATTCTGCGAAGTTACAACTTTTACTTTCACTACTTACCAAATGTTAGCCTTTTAAGTTTGTTGTTCTTGTTGCTAACACTCACTTCACTGACCTATATTCAACCAATGCCCACGATTCCTCATGGCGAGGAGCGCAAATTTAAGCCTGTCGTTGGCAACAGTCTTGAACACCATACATGTGACAGTGCAGTTTAGCTCATTTCCGCTCCCAATTTTGATGGAGAGCACCCCGGAGGGGAGCTAAAGGGGTGTCCCACCCTCTCCCCTTCCACCAATTCACACGGGAGGACTTTCGATTCGCCGCATATTTAGAGTGCCCCCCCATGCCGCATGGACACTGTACATTTAGAAACAGCCGTACCTTCTCTGGGATTCGAACCCGGGCCCTTCGGCATAGCAGTGAGCGATGCTAATCACTATACCGGTTGGGCGGCCTTAAGTTTTGATCTGAAGATCGATTCTTAGGCAAATAGCAGTACAACCGACCGAACTCTACTCAGAGAACCTTCGGGCACGATTTCCTTTTATCTTTAACCTATGCCGCTTGCTATAGAAAATTATACACATCTAAAGACATAGCGAGTATGTGACGAAACAAGGCATATAAGAAAGAAACCAACATAAAACTAATTGTTAATTAAGTTTAAACTAAAAATCATACTCTCTCTTCTAAACACTCTTGAATATCTGAGGTTAAATAATTTATTGAGAAGGAGTAACTTTTTATTATTCGCTGTAAACTGCGATATACAGAGGATGTTTACACATTTTTAGAACGACTTAAGGGCCATTAAATTGATGTTTAAAATGCAAAGAGTAATTTTGTTTGAAATGTTCTGTCTAATAACTGTTTTTCTCCACTATAAGTTTGCATTGTGATTTCCATGACACAAGCGCTTTTCTTAAAATTATCAAAGGTACTTATTTCCCTTCCTCATCCACTACTCTCCAGAATTCCTTAATCGTGGTGCTTGTGGCTTAGAAAGAGCTCTTTTCGGAAGACCAGAAGCACAATAGTCCGTAAATGAAATATCAGAGGACTTCGAAGAATACGTTGAAAAGGTACATATACAATATCTACAACGATCTTCAATTCTTTAAGGAATATAGTGGTACATTTTTAAGCATGACTTGCTGCTTTGACTTAATGAAATTTCATTCTTTTAATGTCGTTTCGAAAAAGAAATGGAATTTCGTCTGTAAATATGAGATGCAAAACTTTCTCGATAGTATTGAGTTGATTTTTAACATTATTTGTCACTCTTCGTAAATTTAATTTCTCACTGCAAGGCTGCGACAATCATAAACTCCTTATTCAAACTTTTTTTTGCATCCATGGAACTAGGTTTTAAATTTTTTCTGTTCTTTTTCGGTAATAAATGGACTTTTTATATTGCATTTATGTAGGAAAATCCATGTTCCATCCAGGGTCACAGTTTACTCTATCCATTTATGTTCTGCTAAATAATTTTCATACAGGGCTCTGCAAATTGTTCTACTTTGAGCCACATGTCTCGACAAAAGCTACAGAGTGGTGTTTTTAATTTGTAAATCTTGGTTTGTTGTTTTATTTATTGATTTTTGCAGTGGGGGGGTTTTTTCTTGTTACCAACGATTAAACTTTCGAAACATTAAAAAATTACGTTTTTTTTTTCGGCTATTCGCTTGGAGCCTTCTTTCTATTTAGAAGTAATCGTCGATGGGTTTTCCTTTTGTGACTAATAATGCTGCTTATTTTTCGCTTCGAAATTTGAATACTATGCATTTCACAGCGTTTTTAAATTATGGAATAGGAATATTTCTCTTCAGAAAGCAGAAACACACATCCTTCAATCCACAGCTTGTTTACATAAAACATATTGTTCATCTCTTATGTGAAGGGGGGCAGAAATTGAACTCCACACTCATCAAAAGATTGACGCTACCTTTTTTGACAACACATTTATTCCTACTCACTAACATATATTATGATACATAAAAACTAGCAAGGTTAAACAGCGCCCTCTTACGGCGGGCAATGGATGGCGTAACACACTGGGCCCCCATGACCCCGTCATCAGCTCAGCTAGAAATATAAACTGAAATATAATGCAACACATAAAAATTAAACAAACTGTAAATATAATTATAAAACATGGAAAGAAATAATTCAATCAGTCATTTATAGGAAGTCTGACCAGTTTATGTATTGGTCTTTTCATTTCACCCGACACAGTTTTTAAGTTGACTGACCTTACTCTTTGGTCAGTTCCCTTATAAGTGCAAATTATTTTTGTCATCTTCCACTTAAGCGGCGGCAAATTCTCATCCTTGATTAGCACCAAGTCATTCACACGTAAATCGACATTGGGAAGTTTCCACTTGTTGCGCACTTGCAACTGAGTTAAGTAGTCTTTTGACCACGATTTCCAAAGCGATTGGGAAATCTGTGTGACTAATTTCCACCGTTCACGGATGGGAATTTTCTCATTTTTTACATCAGGCTCAGGAACACTTTTTAACTCAGAACCAATAATAAAGTGACCCAGTGTAATGACTGAAAAATCATTTGGGTCCTCAGAAGCAGCCACTAAAGGACGGGAGTTAAGTATGGCTTCAATCTCCACTAGACACGTTCTGCGATCCTATAACACGTCTCATGTGAAACTTCATGGATTTAACGGCAGCCTCCCATAGGCCTCAAAAATGAGGGGCTGATGGAACATTCATTGTCCATTTAACGCCTTCGTTGGTCAAGTAAGTACCAAGTGCCTCCATCGTACACGCTTTTAAGTAATTCTTTGCACCGATAAAGTTCGTTCCACAATCACTGAATATTTCAGCGGGCTTTCCTCGTCGTCCTATGAATCGTTTCAGAGCTGCAATGCATGCCTGAGCACTAAGGTCACTGGCAAGTTCTAAATGGACGGCTTTCGTTGCAAAGCATACAAACACACATACGTACATTTTCAGTGGTTTAACTCCTCTACCACGTCTAGGGCTGATCAAGAATGGTCTTGAAATGTCAGTTCCACATTTAAGAAATGGTCTTCCGGGATTCACTCTCGCAAAAGGTAAATCAGCCATCATTTGTTTCGAAAACTCAGAGCAAAATCTGGTGCAGATAACGCACTTTCTTATTTCTCTGCGTATGGCAGTTTTTGCTCCTATAATCCAATACTTTTGTTTCATCGCAGAGTTAACTAATTGTACTTCTCCGTGCATATAATTGAGGTGATAAAATGTCACTAACAAATTTTGTAACAGGATGATTCTTAGGCAATATTATTTGATGTTTCACAGAGTCTGGTAAGCTGGCATTTCTTAAACGTCCTCCTACACGTAGTATGCCACTGTTGTCTAAGAACGGATTTAGAGAAATTAAAGAACTTTTCTTTAACACTCTCGCTTTCTCTAAAGTAGCTATTTCCTTTTTATACTCAGTTCTTTGGACTAGTTTGATTAGAATATCATGCGCTTCTTTTAGTTCACTTGTTTCTAAGAAAGGAGCCAAAATCCTATTCCCCCTCACATTTCTTATAAACCTTAAACACCAAGCAACAACTCTCTGCAACTTACTCCAAACTGAAAATTTGTTCCAAAGCTGCTCAACTAATTCCAACTGAACTACAAAACATTTGACAGAATTTTTTTTTCTCTCTTAGTATTTCCGCACTGTCTACATTTGGTAACCCTCTAACCCAATGTTTTGGGCCAACTCTCAAAACGTTTTCGAAGCCAAATTGGACCTGACCACCATTTTTCATTAAGTACCAACTTCTCAGCCGAGATTCCTCTAGTAAGCAAATCTGCGGGATTATCGTCAGACGGAGAATAATACCAATCACTTCGACTCGATCTTTCCTGAATTTCCACAAACCGGTTGCAACGAACTGTTTTCCATCTCTTCGCAATTCCCTTCACCCAATGCAAAGCAATACAAAAATCACTCCAAAACACTAGTTCTTCCAATTTTATCCTTAAAAACACTCTTTAAGGTTAAGTTCCCACTCTAGCACCTATTACCATGGCCATTAGCTTCCAACCGTGCAGCAGCCGTTAGTTCTTTAACGGTGACCCTCTATTTTTCGATATTACATAATATACTCTGTAATGCCCATTATTCTCACAATATCTAAAATAAGCAACAGTTCCGTAAGCACTTGGTGAAGCATCGCAAAACACATGTACTTCGGATTGCTCATTCTCACAATCCAGAAAACAATATCTCAGGATAGTAACGTCTATCAATTTTTCAATTTCTTTACACCACGTTATCCACTTTTGCTGCAAGTCCTCCGGCAATTCTTCGTCCCAATCACATGTAATCTCCCAAATTTCCTGTAACAATAACTTTATACATATCACAAACGGCGCAATCAAACCAATAGGATCAAAGATTTTTGCAGCTGTCTGTAAAACATATCTTTTAGTGCGTCGCAGCGTTTTCCACGAATCCACCAAACCCTTCACCTCCAATGACAACTCATCTTTATCAGGATGCCAATTCCACCCTACTGTTCGACCTCAGTTTCCTTAAATTAAATCCAACACTCTTTAATATTGATACAGCATCCGACGACAACTCAAATGATTCTTTCACACTGTCTCCACCATAATATAAATCGTCTACGTAAAGTGATGAATTTAACACTTCAAATGACTTCGGTTTACTTTCCTTATATTTTTTTATATAATGCTTTATCGTAGCACTCAAAATGAAAGGGGAACTTTTACATCCAAAGGGTAGTCTTTTCATTCTCATAATTTTATATTCTTCACTAGGGTTATCTGAACACCAAAGAAATTTTAAGAATTTTCTCTCTCTTTCAGAAATTTTTATCATTAAGAAAGCCTTCTCTATATCACCCTTAAACGCTATTTTTGTAATTACGAAATTTTAGAATCACATCAAGAATATTTGGATTTAAATTTGGACCAGTTTCAAAACAATCGTTTAAAGAAAGATTACCTTTAGATTTTGAACTGCAGTTAAAGACTATACGAACTTAAGTTGTTTCTTTAATAACTGCTCTATAAGGCATAAAATACTCATGCTCATCTCTACCACATTCCTCAATAACTCCATTTTGTTTTTGGTCATTTATTATATCCCTATATTCATTAGCAACCCAATCATTTTTAGAAAAATCCTTTACTAACTCATCAAACCTCTTTTTAGCTAAAAAATAATTATTTCCTAATTCATCGTAACTAAACTTCCATAATAAATCAGTTTCATATCTCTCATTCACGAATTTTAAATTTTTCTCAAATTCATCTATCGGCGCTTTATCAACTACATTTAACTCTTCCTTTTCTTTAATTCCTAAAGCATCAAGCTCCCATAATATCTGAACATCTGAAGCGGTTAGACAAAAATTCGCTGAAACTGCAGTCTTAACATTTGGATTGTAAACATCTTGACTTCCCTGTAAAGCAAACCCGAAAATCGTTTGACACGCAAGTAATTTCCTGGTTTATTTTTTCGAAAGCTGAAGCTTCAATAATCTGCCAAAACACATCTGCCACAGTTAATATCTCAATGGTTATATCACTGTCACAGCAGTCGGCTAAGACTAATCCGCGGGACTGCATGATATTTTGTACTTCTTCATTTGGAACAGAAACAAATGCCGCTGTAATAGTATCGGACACTAGCACTTCAATTTGAATACACTGATTAGGGTTGTATCTACTAGATAATTTTAATTCTACTACTTTGTATAATTTCTCAGTAGGCTTTGCTGAGCCAAAGGAAAAAACTGACAACCTTTGCTTTCTAACTGATTTTAATTTTAAGCAATTGGCAAGCGCCTTCGTACACCAGCTTCTTTCAGAGCCATTATCGCATAGTCATTTTATTCAATTTTGTTTGAGAATCAACAGAGCTAACGTATACACTGCACGTGAGTAAGAGACAGATGATTTATGTATTCGGCTTGACCTTGATACTGAAGCATTGCACTGAGTTTGTTCGGCGCCACCGTTCTCTACTTTGGAAAGAGGTTTATTTTGTTTATAAAAATGAATCATAGAATGATGAGCTTTCCCACAGAAACAATTTCTGGCTCTACACGTTTTCGCATTACGCTGAAGAGAAAAACATTTCAAACAAAAATTATTTTGCTTAATAATTTCAACACGCTCATTTACTGAAAGCCTTTTAAAATTAGGACAATTTTGTAACGAATGATTTTGATTAATTTTACACAAAATACATGTTTGATCTTTTGCTCCAGATACATATACATTAGAAATATTTTTGTAATTATAATTAACATTATTTCCATCGCCTCTTTTATTATCGTTCCCTATAAATGATTTTGAAAAAAGGGATTCTGGTTTTTGTTTACCTTTTGATGACAAATAAATATCGCATTCACGACCTAAACTTTGGGGTTCGAACCATGTCTCTCCCTGTTTAACTACTATATGGGTTTTTAATTCACGATCAAGTTCACTGAATATTTTATCCGAAACCATAAGATCACATAACGATTTAAAATCTTTTACATTTCTCAACTGATAATATTCAAAATTTGCACTTAACCTTGATGCAAACTGTACAAAGTTCTCAGATGACAATTTTTGCGTAGAACGAAAATGATTTAAGCACCCTTGAGGGGTTGGTTGAAATTCCTTTAAAATCATGGACTTCGGTTTATCGTAATTATTAATATCTTCTTCCTTCACATCTATACATTAAATTAGTAACCTTCTCCCCCAAATATTTTAATAGGATTTCTGCTTTTAAATCTTCAGGTACTTGTTTTGTCCTAAAAGCCCTTTCAATTGATTGAAAAAAGAGATTATAGGATTCTGCTTTAGTAGGTACAGAAATTCTTAATGTTTTTATACTTTTAATTAAATTTTCCATATTTCGATTTGAGTTGTCCGTCTCAACATTTGATTTTTGTAGCATGTCTTTTCTAGTGTTAGCTAAAGCTAATTTCGCCTCTAACTGAGAAAGTTTTATTTTCTCTAACTCTAATCTAATTTCGTTTTCCGATTTTTGTTTCTCAATTTGTATTTTCTTTTCCTCTAGAATATTATCAATAACATTTTGCACAAATTCAGTATCATTTGCACAAACTTCTGAACTTTCTATTAAAGTTTTCAAAGTAACAATTTTTGCCCCGCTCGGAATTACTAATCCTAATTCCTCTGCGACGAGCGTCAACTCGTCTTTTTTTAATGACTTAAGCGACTTCAGACTCATCTTAATTCAAAGAAAAATACAACATTGAATTGACAACTAGAACACAATAAGTACAAAAACGAACACAATCAAACTCAACACAGACACTATCAACTCAAATTATCAAGTAGGAACACCTCAATACACAACACTAATAAACAGAATTTAACACTAAACATTATTACACAAACCAAAATTACTCACCACAATCTACACAATGGAACACCTTTCACTTTCGATTTTCGCGCAACACATATTCCCATATCGCCACACTATTTTTTCACACAAAATTCGATGATACATATTATTACCATCACATTCTCCCCTAACCCCACTCCTGACACCAAAAAATGTTCACCTGGGCAGAAATTGAACTCCACACTCATCAAAAGATCGAAGTTATCTTATTGGACAACACATTTATTCCTACTACTAACATATACTATGATACATAAAAACTAGCAAGATTAAACAGTGCCCTCTTACGGCGGGCAGTGGATTGCGTAACACATATTGAGGAATAAATTTAAAAGTAGCAGATGATATTTAGTGTTTAAAATAATAAGCATTGTCAGAAAGTTTTATTCTAAAACATTTGATTTTTAAGAAATAATTCTAGAAATGTGTGTAAACACCTTCTGTATATCTCTCTTCTCATCATTTCGCACTTCGTTTTGCAATCTTCTGCAATAATGGAAGAATACTACCCCTCCTCTATAAATTTAACTTTATTTCTTTGGAACAAGTCACTTGATGCTTTCTCGGAGTTTCTTTCTTTAGTGCAGTGTTTCTCATATTGCGTTCCGGAGAACACCATGAGGTTAGAGAACAATGAAACATTGTTTGCTTTTATATATTTAACATCGTTTAAAACAACTCTAAAAGG